GCTTAATTCAGTCTTAATTGCACAACTATCGTAGTAAGGGCGATAGTACGAGCTAAGCCTGGTAACATTCCCCGGTCAGCGAACACACCTACACGAAAGATAAATCGCTCTCCAAAACCCCCATTTAATTCCCGCCCGTAACAATAGGAATACCTGTATATGGAAAATTATAATTATAACGGTTCCACTGAATATGAAAAAGCAATGTGTTTCTTGGAGATAGGTTGTAACTGTGGTTGCTCAAAAAGGATTCCGAGAGAAAAATTTGCCAAGTTACGTGAAGCGTTTCAAGCTCTTTTTAGATCCGACAAGATATATTTTTAATGGCCCAGTTGAAAGCAATGAATGGTGGAGAAATAATCACCAGTCGACGTCTTAAAAAGAAAACACATACCAATAAAAGAACTTTTTACTATTGAGATCGCAATACGCCTCTTTGCCAAAAAATATGTTGGGAATTGGTCTCACTCACTTTGAAAACATTAGAAATCATCTGGCAACAAATGGTATAATACCGCGTGTTGCATGGTAATGTAAAACAAGTGCCACGATGAAAAACCAAAATACCATTGATATAACCGTTGTTACCGCCGTGAAGAATTTTCTCGAAAATTGTGCTGAAATTCATGGACTACCAAGTCCCGGTAGAAGCGTCAATCGCATTACTCAATCGCTTACACTTTTACTAGCCAAAACTAGTTACAAATCAGTCTATCGCGATTTTATTGCAGGTCTTGAAAACGATAGCACGTCGAAATTGTTAAAATATGATGCATTCTGCAAGTTAACACTGTATATTCATATTATGAGTGGAATACAGTATAATGCTCGTGAAGCAAGAGACTTACTAAAAAAGTACAAAGAACATTTAGTTAAAGCTAATTAGAGAGAAAATATTAATATTATCACAAAAATACGAAATTAGCTGAAAAATCTTGGTTAGTGAAAATATATAAGCAGTCGTAATTTCCCTGGCAACAGCATTTTCAGCTCATCTTCAAACACATTTGATCTTTTATTTCGATATTTAATTCCTTGCATTTAGAATAGTTCTTTATATTCTGTGTTTAATCGTAAAGTCATTTCAACTATTCTTGGTAGATTTTTATCGCTAGTCAAAGTGCAAAACGCCTTTCCGTATCAGCGGTATACGAACTTCCTTAATTAATTAACAAAAGGAGCAAATCAAGAAAGATCGTGAGTTGGAAGTTCATTATTTGCCAAAAGAGAAATTTCCCCGACCTACAGGCTTTAAGATAAAATATGTAGTAATCCAGGAACGGCGTATACAAAACTGATCGCGCATCGTGAGTATTTCGAAAACCCGGTAAAGGTCACTAACTGTCGTTTATAGGTTTAGCAACAGTAGAGGAGTCAAAGACCTCGTCGGAAACAGCTAGATTTCAAGGTCTGGTATGCGACTGCTCTCCCTCGTATATTGATCCCGCGTTACAGATAAAATTTATCGTTAAACTGTAGATTACGTCGTGTTATGTTACGCATTCACAAGAGGAACCATTGTCTTGTGAATAATTGTCATTATAAGCTGGCTAAATGGCTTTGTATAATATTGCTATCTGAATTTCGTACTCAAGGAATGTAAGACTGCTCGAGCCATTACTTTCAATAGCATCTGATTTATAAGGCACGTGAGTATTTCTAGTGTCTAGTAATCTGTACAGAAGAATCCACAAGTACAACTTGTGATTCTGTGTCGAGGTAGTTCTTCTCCAAAACACGAGGAGCCTATTTCCTTGTTATTACCTAATTTAGACTTTGCTTAATAGTTTTATGTAGACGCCATAACGTGATCATACTTCAAAGTCACGGGATTACCTTTTTTTCGGCACCAAGTTAATAAAAGCTTCTGCTACCTTATCGAGTCGACTATGTCTCCTCCCCACTATGAACAGTGAGGATCCATCGTTCCGGACTTTCTCCCCACCACCCGCTAACAGTAACTCTTCAACAGCAAGAGCGGTTCCTGCTGCGCACCATCACTTGAGATCATCGTCTCAGACGAGCTTAAGTACCATAGTCAAGGCTCAAATCTCGTTCTTACTGTCCACGCTCACTGCTGACAATTACGAGCATAACGTAGCAGAGATCGACTCGGTACGACTATTTACTATTTGTAATTCTGTGTGTTCCAACTCGTTAATATAACACAAACAGCAAAAATAATGGTCTACGTATTGCACTGACTGATTCGCGTTGTGTGAATTCCAATTGTCTAATAGTGATAATAAGATAGGGATATTGATATTTTAGTTACACATTACGTACTCGCTTTAGAACAATTGGTGATAGGGCTCGCACCATATGTTGCTGACTATATCCTAAATATCCCATTTTTATTCAAACAAACAGCTCATTACGCAGCACGGTCGGGATATTTACTTCCATCTATTACGGAGACTTCTCATTGACAATCAGCAAAAGATCTGCAACGCTGGTGCTCGTTCTTCTGATTTAATAGCTAGCTCGCAGGAATATCGCCTGTTAATTGGCAAAGTTAGGCAACTCGCGAGCAATCCCACGCTTTCCTCTTCATTCTGTGACGCACTAAATTCGATCGATAACAAAGACGCTTTCAAGGACTTTGATCTCTCCCGATTCCTGGAACAAGTTGGATCATATTTTGTTTCAAAAGTTGGATCGAATCCTGTTGAAAAAGTTGGATTAAATCCTGTTGAAAAAGTTGCTTTATCAATATCGTTGCTTGCTGCTAGTAGGAAAGATATCAAAGAGCAAGGTAAGGTGTTAAACTGTGCTTACTAAGGTAATCAATGAAATACAGAGTCGCGTATGATTGACGCAGTAACATATGTTCGCATTACTTCTAGCCAGTAATATCATTACCAGTGAGATCGACACACTTGCTCAGTCACTCAAAAATTCAGCAGTTCAAGGAGAAGTCTCTGAGCCACTTGCTCTCCACTTGGCTCTCTTCTTGAAGTCATCTCAAGCAGAGAGCCTAAACATTTCGCCTAAGCAGATTGACGCTGTTATTGAAGGGCTTAGGTCAAAGTTTGCTCCAAATTCCCCTCCAGCCGCTCTTGTACCTCTTCTATACAACAGTCCACACGTTTCCCACAAGTATGTTGTATGTCTAGTGTACTGTTCGCGTGTTTTATATTTTTAACCTGACATTTTTCCTTTCAATATACAGCGATCTTACATCATCCACAATGGGAGATACAAAAGATCCTGCCGCGATACCTCTGGCGAAGATCATGATGGATCATGGATGCAGTTGTTGTAGTTCTCCTACTGCAGTTCGCAACTTGTTGAACCAGATTGGAATCACCTCACCTGATTCAGGCGAGATCATAAGGGAAGATGATGTTGCTCAAGTATTTGGAATGATGGCTAGGACGCACGCCAATCTCGATCAGAATGGTAGTAATTGGACGCCAAGTACAGAATCTACGGATCCGCAACAGTCTTGGGAAATCGAGAACTTTGTTACCACTCTCGTTGAACTGGTAAGAGTGAAATTCAAATTACAATGTCTTAACTGGTGTCACTAAAATCGCATCTTCACACTTTTTATATTCAGCAACCGCATTTGGATTGGGTAAAGGTTATCAAAGAGCTTGATCATCCAGAATTTATTATATACGATATGAAAGGAATCGAAATATTGATGAATGGCTTTAAAGCAGCTACAAGCGTAAGAATTATTACACTCTCAATCAATTTATTTGTGTATTTACTGTGTCTGACCACGTCCTGTTTAATTATAGGATCAACAAAAGTTCCCAATTGAAGCCTTTTGGGGTCGATGGAAAAATATCAAGGGACAATTTAGCTTTTTAAGCTGTCTTGCCACGGATCCTTCTGGAAAATTCGATCCGAATGCGTACCCCGTGAAACGAGTAGTAACAATGGATGACTTTGCAAATGCCAGTCAAAATGTCAAGTCATTTGCTGGAATACTTGTTGTTCATCCGTGCAATTGTGTTGAGCTACTGGAGACTTTGATTAAAATGGCTGATACTGAATTAGTCGATGATGTTCGTGCTTCATTTGAGCGTGTAGCCAAATCAACACCAGAAGTGGTTTTCTTGGGTCTTGCTCAGATACAGGTAAACCCTTTTAGCAAATGCTTGCTTTCATTTCGTCATCGGATGTGTTGTCCTGACTCAAATATTTATTCAGAAACCATGGAACTCTTTACATCAAGAATTGGTCAATCGACAGCTCATGATGTTTTTGTCGGGTCATTCGAGTGGTATATTCGTTTTGAGCCTTTTATGGCAACTCAATAGCGAGCTGTTTTCGGAAGGTTGCATAGAATTATATAACAAAGATCCTGCCAATATTTCAAGGATTTTAGACTTGGCACAGGAACTAAAGGTTCTTAACCCTTTACTCGAAAAGCGGCCTTTTGCTTTTGCAATTGACTTGGCAGCACTTGCATCTAGACGACAGTATCTTAACTTAGAGAAATGGCTTACGGACAATATTGCTAACCACGGGACCACTTTTGTATATGAGTGCCTAGACCTGCTCAATCATGAGATTGTCACAAGAGCTGTCAGTGATGCATCAACCAACAATCAATCTCCTCGCCTGACTTATGATGTAGTCGTAATATTCTTGCGTGTGCTTCAGGGCAGTCAATTATCTGCAGATAAAGCTGAAATGTTGAGAGAAATTCATGATGTAGCTGTGCGGTTGTATCCACGCCTTCTCAGTCTTGGTTCTTCAGCAGATGCTGTTGCTACTAACGGTGAAGCAACATTCTCCGAAGATGTCGAGGCTCAAGCTAATTCTTACTATGAAGCTGTGTACAAGGGGGAACTCGGTCTGAAAGATTTTATAAACTTACTCATAAACTTTAAGAACTCACAAGATCCCCATGAGAAAGACGTGTTCGATTGTATGGTACACAATCTCTTTGACGAATACCGTTTTTTCCCAAAATACCCTCCAAGAGAATTGGCCATTACAAGTGTTATCTTCGGCTCGCTGATACAATACCAACTTGTCGGTTATATGACACTTGGTGTCGCTCTCCGATACGTTCTTACTGCATTGCGTAGTCCATCAGATCAGAAAATGCTAAATTTTGGTATTCAGGCGCTCTTGCAATTTCAGACGCGTCTTCCGGAATGGCCACAATATTGCACACATCTTTTGCAGATTCCACAACTTCATCAGAGTCATCCAGAGATTATGCAATATGTTGGATCTGCTCTTGCTGAGAATAACAGTGGCAGCGGTGAGTCTATGATTGTGGCGGCTGCTGTTGCTCATCCTCCTACCTCCCCCGCTGTTACTGCTACCCCTTCAGCGGAAAGTACCTCCAGTCGGGTTGCAATAGAGGCTTCCAATAGATCTGTAGAATCTAGACCAGTGTTTACCGCTTTGAATTTGGACACGCTTTTAGCTGCCGAACAAGTTGACTATGAAATTCCCAGCGAGGAGGTTCAGGACAAAATATTATTTATTATTAATAATGTTGCACAAAGTAATCTTGAATCCAAAGTGTCTGAAATGAAACAAATACTGAAAGGACAGCATTACCGATGGTTTGCTAATTATCTCGTGGTGAAACGTGCGAGCATAGAGCCGAATTATCATCAGCTTTATTTGCAGTTTTTGGATCAGCTTGATAGTCAACTACTCATAAAGCATGTATTACACGAAACTTTTGCCAATGTTAACGTTCTGTTAAACTCAAACAAGACTGTACAATCTGCGTCTGAGCGGACTTTGTTGAAGAATCTTGGATCCTGGCTTGGGGGTATGACACTTGCGAGGAACAAGCCTATTAAGCATAAAAACATCGCTTTTAAGGTTAATTTATTCACTTAATAATATTTTTGCATTTCTTATGGAGGTCATCAATTTAACAAGTTAACTAACTTTTAACGAATTGTTACAGGATTTATTAGTTGAAGGTTATGATAGCAATAGGCTCATAGTTGCCATACCATTTGTCTGCAAGGTGCTTGAGCAGGCCAGCAAGAGTAAAGTCTTTAAACCACCAAATCCTTGGTTGATGGCCATTTTAAGGCTTTTGGTAGAGCTATATCAATTTGCAGATTTGAAACTTAATCTTAAGTTCGAAATCGAAGTACTATGTAAAAGCCTTATCATCGAGCTCAAAGACATAGAGCCCACCAACATTCTCAAAGATAAAAAACCACCAAAAGATCCTGCTAATCAACAAACTGACCGTCTCGCGCAAGATATGGAAAGAATGAACATTAGTACTCCGACTTTTGTCTCGCCTGGAGCCAAAATAGCTAGTCAGGTTGCACAGCCGCAACAAGGAATGCAACATCAACCAGGGCAACAACAACTTCCGTTGCAGCTACAGCAAATGCAAAACCAACAGCATCAGCATCAAAACCAACATCAACACCAACACCAACACCAACACCAACACCAACATCAACACCAACATCAACATCAACATCAACATCAACATCAGCATCAGCATCAACATCAACATCAACCATTAATTCCTCCACCTGGTCCACAGACTACTCATATTCAACCCGCACTGGGATCGCTGGCTGATGAGGGTTATGTTAATCTCACGCAGAGCATTGCGCAACATGTTGTAATAAACTCTAACCTATCGATAATTGCTAATCAGATTCCGTTGCGAAAGATTGTACAGTTGGCTATCGAGCGGGCAATTTGCGAAACCGTCACATCCATTATTGACCGGGCCGTTATGATTGCTGGTATTTCTACTAGGGAATTGATTGTAAAGGATTTCTCCATGGAACCGAATGAAGAAAAAATGCGAAGCGCTGCTCATTCTATGGTGCAAACCCTAGCTGGTAGTTTGGCCCTTGTCACTTGTAAGGATAGTCTTCGGCAGCATATGATAGCGCATCTGCGAAGTTTGCTTCAACAGTATAGTTACTCTGAGGTAATTTATATAGAGTTTATCTGCAGATACTTTTGATCACCTGTTTTTGACTTTGAGAATATTACTAACTATGATACTGTGTCGTCGACACGTCATTGTTAAAATCTATTCTCGTGTGAGGCAGGCGACTATTAGCGAACAAGCAATATTAGTAATTGTTACAGAAAATTTGGAATTAGCAAGTTCCATCGTCAAAAAAATTGCGCGCGAAAAAGCTGTCCCAGAGATTGATGAAGCCCTTGCATCATCATTTAGTAATCGCAAGAAACACCGTGAAAGAACTGGCCAGCCTTTTTATGACATGGCAGTCTACTCTGCAGTGTCCAGATACGTATCCAATTTACCGGAGCCGCTACGCACTAAACCAAATGGATTGACCGAACAGCAATTACAAATATATCAAGACTTTGGTAGAATCGGTAATTTGGCGCGGCCATCACTTCAACCATATGGTGAGAATCATCTGTGAACGATTAATAGTAATTTTTTCCGATGTGTTAGTAATATGACTACTGAATCGACATTGTTATTACAGACGATAGACCTCCACGCACTGCAATGCATAGACAAGAACTCGCCATGGGGCATCTTTATGGCGCAAATGAGCTATCATTCGAACCAGCTCACCCGCAAGTAGCTGCAATATCCGCTCATCAAAGCCTTGAGAAGTTTGCTGTAAGTAATGAACACAACGTAATAGTGACATATTGAGTTCTCATATTTATTATGTAGTAAAGAGCTAGTTAATCTCTAACATATTTTATCTCATGTAGCAATATATTGCCGAACTCGAAAATCTAATTGCCAAGAACCCCCAAGCATCACTGGCATCACTACAACAAAATCATGAAATCCGTTTAATAGTTAACCAGATTCTATTATTAGCCTCACAATCGTTTAATCGTGACGAAACGGCACTTGCATTCTCTCAGAAGGTGGTTCAATTGTTATACAAGAACGAGTCCAATCTCTCAAGAGAAGTCTATGTCGTGTTATTAGAGAGATTATGTGAAATTTCAATCAAAGTGAGCGGAGAAGTTACAGCATGGCTCATCTATGCCGAAGACGAGCGCAAGTTTATTGTACCAGTAGTTGTCGCGTTGATCAAAGCTCGGTTGATTAACACGAATGAACAAGACATACAGCTGGCAAGACTTATCGAAGCTGGACGAACTATAGTTATCGATTTCACTGCGAAATTGATCCGTGAATGCGTTTTGAAAGAGCCACAGATTGCTACGCGCGCCGATTTCCCCAACTCGTTAGATGCTCTTGACCGACTTGCGAGACGCGGGAAAGCGCCCGAAAGGTATGTTGATAACGATACATTCAAAAAATTTTAATTTTGCTGACAACGCCGAAACTGAACGATTTGCTGAAAAAAATAATAGTGTAATAAAACTCCTGGATGATTTACGCCGCCCAGCTCGCGCTCCACCTATTAAGGAGGTTGAAAATTTGGGGGGCCTACGCGAACAACTCTCCTACTATTTTACCGAATGGGTTCGTCTCTACCAACACCCGGCATCAAATGAGAAAGTTTTTAGTTCGTTCATCATGCAAGTACAACAACAAGGCATACTGAAAGGCGACGAAGTCTCATCGATGTTCTTCCGTATTTGTACTGAAATGAGCGTTGACAATTGTCTCAAGCAGAAAATAACTAATCAATCGTCAACAGTCACAGTATACCAAGCAATCGATGCCTTTTCTAAGCTCATTGTTTTATTAGTCAAGTATCATTCTGATCCTGAGGGTATGAATGATAATCTGGCTAAGAGTGCCTACTTCAACAAGATCGTATCTCTGATTGTACTTGTGCTTGCGCAAGCGCATGAGCAAAGGCGGCAACAGTTTAATCAAAAGCCATTCTTTAGATTGTTTTCGAGTCTTCTTAGTGACCTGAATGCGTACGAGCAACAACTACAACCTATTTATTTCCAATTATTGACAATACTAAGGTGAGTTCTTCGATGCGGATGTGTTGAGTGTATTAAACCAGCGTCAGTGTGATCTATTGCTAACGATATTATTATGACTATAGCTCTACATTCACTACGCTCCAGCCAAGCTTCTTCCCTGGATTCACTTTTGCATGGTTGTCATTGATATCACATCGTCTTTTCATGCCTAAGCTACTTCTTGCTTCTGAAAACCAAAAGGTTAGTTTTATTGCGACCCGTATGTTTATAGTTTCTATCTGATATACTTATTCTTGTCTATTAATTTTTAGGGCTGGTCAGCATTCCATCGACTCCTTATAAGCTTGTTTAGATTCCTCATCCCATTCCTTCGCAACGTCGAGATGTTTCGTGAAACCACACGCCTTCTTTACAAAGGCACCCTCCGTGTATTACTTGTACTTCTTCATGACTTTCCTGAATTCCTTTGCGATTACCATTTCAGCTTTTGTGATGTTATCCCACCATCGTGCATTCAACTCCGTAATCTAATACTCAGTGCGTTTCCTCGCAATATGCGTCTTCCTGATCCATTTACTCGTAACCTCAAAGTCGATCTTCTTCCCGAGATTTCTCAACCTCCGCGAGTGTTATCTGATTATACTTCAGCTTTGACGGCTGGGAATTTGAAGCAAGATATTGATAATTGGTTAAAGACAAAACAACCAGCGTCATTTTTGAGTGAACTGAAGAATAGATTGTTGGCTGATCCGGGAACACAAGTGGACATGAGGTCGAAATATAACGTGCCGGTGATCAATGCATTGGTGCTATATGTGGGCATACAGGCGATCAATCATTTTCAGAGTAGGCAAGGCCATACTCCTCTTACTCACACTGCGCATATGGAGCTATTCCAGCAACTGTTAAATACTCTTGATTCAGAAGGTAAGTCGGGAACGATAATTCAGGTAAATGTTTGTAGCTGGATTCCTTATTCAGTCAATTACTCTTGATTCTGCAGGTCGATATTTGTTCTTAAGTGCGATTGCCAATCAGCTGCGATATCCAAATAGTCATACTCACTACTTTAGCCGAACTCTTTTATACCTGTTTGCCGACGGTGGGCAAGAGGTGATCAAGGAACAAGTGACAAGGTTTGCTATGGTCCCTGCGGAGTTTTCTCCTTCATTTATCTGTTATCTTTTGTTCATGCACGTCACTTACATATATCCATAAATTTGCTGACTACTTAGGGTTTTATTGGAAAGACTGATAGTGAATCGCCCTCATCCATGGGGACTTTTGATCACATTCATAGAACTAGTTAAGAACCCCGAGTATGATTTCCGAAGCCACTCATTCACTAGATGTGCGTCTGATATAGAGAGACTCTTTGATAATGTTAATCGGTAAGTGTGCCTGTTATTGATGTTTGTAATTGTCGTTACGACTTGAGCTAATATTGTCTTTGTTCTGAATAGATCAATCAACCAAGTTTAATTCGCTTTTCTTGTAGTAATAGTTGTTTTTTTAGTTTCTTTTTCTTTTAATTGAAATAATTTTAATAAATATTCATAGACTACAATAAATAATATGCACTGTCTTTGACTTAAGGTTTTTACAAAAGTTTGGGCCAATGCTTACAATACAGTATCCCCTATTAGTATTCCAATGCTTCAGCGCTTTGGGGTCTGCCTCTAACTCGGGATTGTGTCGGTCTAACAAAAATGGAAATAATCATCGAATGCATGCTTCACGTAATAAAGAATTACCGTATTCTTCCGAAAACAATGTTTAAATCATGTGATTTGTCGATAGAATTCGTCACGTAATACGCGGAACAGGTTTCTTCAATGACAAAACGGAGAAGGAACATAAAAGGAGGTTATTGCCTACGCAAAAAACCATGGAAATAAGACATTTTGACATTGATTGTGGTAGGGTAAGCGCAAGTTCAAAATGGACAAGCGAAGCAAAGTAAGCGGGTTGGCTCTGGTAGAAAAGCCTTATTTCCAGAAGCAGAGAAAAAGCTTTATGCTTGAATTATAAATCTTAAAAGAACTTGAAATGGTGGTTCTTTATGGGAATTTAGGGGAGGACTTTAAGGCATTTATTTATCAGTGATAAAAATCTTACCAGGGACTGAACGAAATAAATTCATAACTAATAATTATCTGTCGATATGTCAATTGCATCTCTACTCGGAAATGTTCGTAAACAATATTCATTGTTCTCATTATGAATATTCAGACCGTATTATTATTTTATTAAACACTCCACTGGGATATACAGTAAATTTACACGTTGTCCACCCGATGCTATTACTAATTCGTATTGAATACAACAAAATTTTATGCAGTACAAACGAGTTCGCACAATTGACATTCCCGAACTGTGCATATCGGTTTAAAATAACCAAAGTTAGCCTGTTCTTAGGTTCCCTATTGTAAGACGAACTGCTTGCTGGTTATGCCTACAAGTAAGCATTTCTTCTATCTCCCGCCTACAACCACCGAACAACGACATCATGGCCCAATCTGTCGACGTTTGCATGAACTTGCATTATAGTCGTCTTCATCTCTTGCACTGACTGTCCTCTTCGATAAAGAACATTTTGGATCAGAAGGCTCGTCATTATATCCCCTCATAAGACGATACTCTGTATCCAACTGCATATACTTCATTCGCAAATCTTCAAAATTAGGAGGTAACCTTATACCACTTATCACACTCTGAAATAGTAATGGGTTGAGATATAGGCTATCTAAGGGATAAAATAGAACATCTGAATTAACATCTGAATTAACATATGGATATAACTAGATCGACACCAGGGCTCATCTACATTTGTAGAGTACCTGTAGACATCTTAAATAGATCCCGCACGATATCTTTTATTTTGTTGGCATTCGCTATCGGAGTATTTTCAATTACTTTTTTGAATATGTACATTAATTGCATCTCCGATTCCTTTAGAATAATTTGCACAAAACTTTCTACCATTACATGTCGTAGATTGTCATTATGTACATCTTTTATATATGTACTATCCTATATCCATCAAAGGATGAGGGAGGAAAGACAATTGAGCAAGTAATCATTAGTGTTTAACTAAAACTTTTTTTTTTTCAACAAAACTCACCAAATATGCAAATACGCTGCCAAGAACGTCAATTGCTCGTAAATGATTCGACAAGATCGCGGCAAATTTCATAACAAACTCGTCTAGATTCTGAGAAGATTGTAGCTGGCCATTGAGGGATACAAGGGTTTCTTTGATGACATTTTTCAGATCACCAAAGAGTCTTCCTTGCGATCCCCTCCAACAAGTCCAGTAGATGTTTCTACAATAATAAAAGAGTTGGTTGAAATTGAGTACGATAATAAAACGTGTATAAACTAGAGGAAGAGCAAACACATATCTTACACACATATATACCTATATAGATCCTCATGTGAATAGAGGTACAACGGGTGTGTGACCTGCAAATCGGCACGCAGAGCCAATTGCACGAAAAATGATACTTTTTCCCAGACTGCAGTATAGTCAGCGATTGTGACTGCAGAAAATGGATATTATCAGCAAGAAAATCGCTACGCCGTAACTGAAAAGCGAGCAATAGATAGCTCACCAGCATTCATGCTATTCTTGGGCACATATCTGTGTTCAGTGGAAGGTTTGGTCTCACTATCCCCCATAGCAACGTCCATCGTGGCGTAATGCTTGAGAGTCGATTAAGAGTTGAGCAGGAACGAAAAGCATGAAGAGAGAGGGGAATTGGAACATCATGTGAGCGTAGAGGGATTGGCTTATCGGATGTGAATCAACTTCTATTGGTTGCACTATCATTTCATCTGCAGATCATTTGATATCTGTCTGTTGTCGTGGAAATAATATCATATCGACATGCATAGAGCTTGCAAACAGCGACATTGGTGTAGAGAGCATAGTATCTTGACATTGCACGTATGAAGTGTTAGGGCATTGGCATATGAATGTGTCAGACATCAGTCTTGTATTTAGATAAGTTGAGTTGGAAAAGGTACAAGTTTGTTTGGTCAATGTCGTGTGCTAGAGTTATTCGCGTTTTTATTTCTATTGCTATATTAATATTCCAAACGAATGATTTGATAACTCTTGACCACGTGACAACTATTTACAAACTTCAAGTCATTGTTCGATGTTAGCTTCTTTTTTCTTTTCTTTTTCTTTTTTTTCCCGCCGCGCGCGTTCACCAACTAAATTCAGTTTTCAGATGTCAAATGCAACGTGGCTCCTTTAATATTAAGAGGTGGAACTTGAAAATGGCGCTTATAGACTTTTACCAACACTGTCAGCATCAAACAGATTTTAGTGCATCTTTCGAAAGCGAAGCCTTTATACTGAGGTCTCTAGATTATCTGTTCGAACAACTATCGGATGCTTTCAATGCAAGGATTTCTTGTAATTGCAAATTTAATTTTCCCAATCTATAGTTGGGAGCTTTGTGTTGCACGCAAATGATCTTCGTGATCGTTGTACATAATACAGTTTTTGTCTAGTACTGGGAAAATAATGCTAGCATACTGTTTTGCATTTTGGAAACTGCATGTATTGATATAATTGGTAATATTATTAACGCATTCATCTTCACTCCTTCTTTCCATCGTCCAATTGTTTCAGCATTTTTGTTGGTAAAGGCCATTTAGTAAAAAGGCGATAATACCGCTCTTTCGCGTAGTTTGTGGAATTTTACAACCACTTGTCAAATAAACCAGCTCAGAAACCAAGTACGGCGATAACTCGCAGAAGGTTTCAATAGTGAAAGTGAACATGTCGAATGAATGGACTGTTGTTTGAACAATATTATGCTTTCAAACATACATCATTTTGAAACAAACCACAATGTTGGGTACAATGATACGTTACTCAGCACTTAACAAAAATATTCAAATCCTAGAAAAATCCCTGTTGATGAATTATTGGACAAGCGGATTATTCTCCTTGCCATTGCAAATTATCGGATCTCAAATACTATTACTGATTTCATTGCTGCTTAATTTGATCAGGAAAATGAGAGGTGTCAGCAGTTGATCTTCTTCGGCGCTATATGTTCACATTGTCGACCATGCTACTTTATGGATTTCGCCCGAAAAGTGGTGGTACGGTACACTGTAATTACGTATAGCCTTTTTTGACCATAGTTGGCAGATAGGTGCTAACTCAAAAACGAGATTTACACCCTCGAATATGTTACAAATACAAATACTCCGTATTCTCTTTTTTTCCCTTGTTTTCTATGTAACCCGGATAGTTTCACTTCTTTAAAGCAAGTGATGACGTGACACATGTTTTCCTTGGCATACACATATATATCAACCGTAACGGAGAACGACCAACATCCCCCCCCCACTGCTACTCCTCCTTCAACGTGCGAGTGAGTCATTCCACCCGCATTATCACCACACGGTCACATTCCCATCCCCTTTTAATCCTATTCGTGCACAATTTCTTCATAAAGCCATCCTTCACCAAATTATAATTTACCGTATTATCAGGTGGTACTTTTCATTACTACTACAAACAAAATAATAGACACAACAATATTACACTAATTGTTCACTTCCGTTGGTCGAGTGTATAGTACATGCTTGCCTAATATTGTCGTGCTATCTTTCACACTCTGTTTGTATCCCCTTGTTTCTATTATCTCTCATTACAGGTTTTGTGTTTCTCTCTCTTCGTTCTTTTTGTTCTTGAATCCATATTGTCTATAATAGGAATTCGAACAATACCAGGTCAATAACCCTGGTGTTAACCTCACATTCTTTTATTTACTTCACCCACAACTAGTGTAGGGACAAACCCATAAGTTTGTCGTAGCAATACACACTCCAAATCGGCAATAAAACATCTCCAAAAACCACCTCAAATCGTTATGGCAGTTATATTTGATTTCACACACCTATTGGAGGACCCTATATTTCTGGGCTCGTTTGGTCTAGCTATTGTAAGTTTACGTTTACTCGCTTCATCTACTCGACACGAAATCTCACACATAGTTATTATATAATGCCAATTGACGGTTGGCAAAATATGTTGTCCTTGACTGATATGATATCAATTACTGTTTCTTTATAGGTCGGCTGGATCGTTGCACTAGCAGGACAGTGCGCAAGCAACCTAAGCTTGAGAGCATTCGGCGTAAATGGTCCATTTGCATGGTTTATCATTTTCTTTAATTTGGCTGTGATAGTAGGAACTTTAGCCGTTGTCAGTTCAAACAAAACTAGTCAACAGCGCCCGGCCGTATCCTTTCGTTGAAGGGTTTATATCCTTCAAATCCAACTTCAGTTACGCCGTGCTTATAATTGCATTATTATTGTCCTTAATAATATCTATTTCTACTGACAGTTGATGGCATTCTTTGCTGCGTGCTTCGTCCTCGACTCTCAAGCTGTCACATGGTTTATTCACCTAGATTCTTCTTATCAGGCTGCTGGGGCTGGCTATATTTTCCTCAGCATCGTCTTTATCGTGTGGATAATAGTGCTCGGGTCCGACAATCAACAACGTACCAAAGCAGCAGCCTACTCTTCAACCGGAGTAATCATCGGTAACAATGTTACACCCACGATGATTCCATTAAGCCAGGCGACGCAGAGTAGTGTGAGTCAGAATCAAGTCGTTGTTTCTCCAAATGCCGAGTATGCATATAAAGCTAGGGCTCTGTATGATTGTAAGTACCATGCGATGTCACATTTTCTCGCAAGTTTATTATTAAACTTCATTCTCATTACATTTATAGATGCTGCTAGTCCCGAAGATCCGAACGAGCTGAACTTTAACAAAGATGACGTGCTTGACATCGCTGACAACAAGGGAAAATGGTGGCAAGCAAGGAGGGCTGACGGTGTAATTGGAATAGTACCAAGCAATTATGTATGTAAAAGGAAAAACTAGACTGCCATATTGAAACTGCTGATTAACGTAGATCGTGATAATATATTCTAACCGAAACCTTCTTATTCACAGCTCCAAATCATCTAATATTACATCTTCATATTCACCTCTCATCATCTATACAATCCAACATCGTTCTTGGTCATCCCGACTTAATAAGCAACTCTCCCGTTATAATTACTACATCTTTCTCTGATTATTTTATTATTAATATGATTGGTGGGCTCCCTCTAGTTGTGAGAGTGGGTTGATTTATTGCGTGACAAACTGTAATAATATATATTTTTTTCTTGAACAAAACTTGTAAGTCTTGTTTAGCAGCTCGAATTTTATTGCCTTTTTTTGCATGCTTGGCTACGTTTAAGGATATACCATATCTCATTAATTCACATTACTGTTGACTTTCAAGTTTCTATCGGCATTAAAGTTGATTTGTGTAGTGCGGATCATGAAGATGTACAACAACATTTTAATCACACAGCAAAGTGATTATAGTAGACTGTAGGATGAAAAGATTTCGTTCTCGTGAGCACGTTATCGTTGAGTTTTCACGCATCTAACTCCTGCATTTGACTGTAAAGTCTGATTGGTGTTCTGCAAATATTACCATCTCACAACTTTGTTATCCGGTCTTGGAAATTATAATTGGAGTGTGTCGTGGATTAGTCAGGAAATTATGCGTTTCCGCATTGAAAATTCTAATGAATAATTCAGATTCAACGCAAATAATAATGAGGGAGAACTTATATACTGCAAGTCTTTTACTGCTAGCTCAGAATTACATAATGGTCTGGTACCTTTGGAGCTTTCCACATAGAATATTGATTGATACGGCTATGGTTGAAACAGCTCAATAGTGAGTTCATAACAATCAGAAGTACTTAACAAACTTTGTCATAATCTCTCCGCCTTCTTTGGCTGCTTATCACCTTGAACGCGCTCAGGTTAGGGTTAGCGAACTTTTTAGGCCCATTATTAGTTTACTATTTACAAAAGTGCATACTATAATTCCACCTCATTGTTTTGCCAAAAATGGGGACTATTTACTGAAAATGTGTCACGTGTGGGAATATCAGGTTATCTAACCCGCCACTAGATGAACCCTAGGATAAGATCACCATTTCGGAAACTCATCAAACAGGGTCAATTATGTTCAGGCGAATTAACAATCCCCATATAACAGCGCTTTTATTTATATGGTGTATTGCAGCCATCTTCAAGTTCTCTCTCTATTCGAATCAAATCCTCTGCTGATAAAATAAGAGGTTCAAGCTGGAATGCCAATTATCCGTAATCCCCTTCACCACATTTGGCGAGAAAGCAAAGATTATATAATTGCATTAAGGCAAGATATATGGCAAATTTCAGGTTCGAATTTAATCCCGCCCGACGGTAACTTCATCTCCAACACAGCCTCTAAATCAGCCTCGTAAGAGTCTAGCTTCTCATCCCCTGCGCTTAGATCCTGAGTATGTAGTCTACTGGAATTGTCTGCTTTATGCTAGCTCCATTGACTAGGTGACTACCATAGCTTTCGTCTCTTCTGTCGCAATCTAATAGCCAATTTTTTCCTCTCTCCATAACGCTCTTCTTTCTGTTTTTTCTTTTCTATCATCTCTTGAATAGCCTCCGGGGGCAAAGGAGCAACAAACCCAACAAAATACTGGCTGCATTCAAACTTATCTGCCAATTTTTTTCGTGTCCAATAGTTGGGATCCTCTGCCCTAAGACGCCTGATTTCAGCAACCTCTACTTCCGTAAGATGATACTTCTTCTCTTTGATGGGTCTAATAGGTGGAGGAAGCGATTCTACCGCTGCTGCTACAGAAGTTGGTTGGCGTGTTGTGAAAGTGCTACCGTCGTCTAGTTTCTGCGTAGAGACGATGGGAGCCGACAGTTTTGTTTGTCGTTTTGGTTTACGAGCCGAGTATGAGCGTATTATAATTGAACGGGGAATAAAATTTGACAAGCGTTGCAACGAGAACATGGTTTACTTATTATCGCGAGGTCAACAGACGCATCTTCATTTTATACTTGCACAAAATTTTGCGGACACGTGATTATTGGGAAAAGTCTTCAAGGAGACCAATCATGATATAAAAGAAAAAGAGATTACACTGGTATTTATCCCGACGGCCTAAGGATACTTAATTGTGAGGGCGTTGTAGAGAAATTTAAAATGGATGTCCAAAAAATTAATAAACTGAGGCAATTTATGATAGATAACATAATCTTTTGTTACGCTCGGTCATCTGGGAAAGCGTGTCCAAATTTTGACCGGGAAAATTTAGCTCTAAATGTGGTCTTGCTTACACGCTCGCGTCAATTAAGGCGTAGCTAAATTTGCAGGCGGTTTTTTATACCTTCTATTGCCAAGGTATAACTTTCACTCCAATGTTGTGCTAAACTTATTGCACCTATAACCGAACTATGCTTTCCTGACGCACAAAAACAAAACTATTATTAGAGCAACAACTAATAATAATCCTTAGTCGGAGAGTGTTTAATTGTAAAAGGGCAATAATCTTCGACGCGTCTAATTAAGAAACTCCTTATACTCGTTCTCAGCCGCTCCTAGAGTATGAGTTCAATTAATAATAAATTTTCACCACCGATCGTAATATTTTATTTAATACACATGTTCTGACCAAATTGCAATTCGAAATTGTTCGAACTGGGTCGACGTTTAAAATCGAAATTAGATGAAAACAGTCAAGAAACTTGGCCGATTTTGAATTAATTTGAGTCAGAACATGATATATTCGTTATTAATTTTGTGTTATACAGTAGATATAAAATTCTAACATTTGATACGTATGTATGGCGTAAACGGCTTAGTTGCATCCAATAATTTTCAATAACTTTAAGAGTTTTATTTAATTAAGAAAAATATGCATCTCAACATATACTAAAAATTTTTGTAGCTAGTCTTTTTTTTTTTTTTTAAATACTTCTTTTGTCGACCAAATACTTTCCGAGGGTAGTGTATCTGCAAAGCGGGCCCGAGAACGAAGGAGGGCTAAGACTGCAGAGAGCGTTGCGAGAGAGACAGCGGCAAAAAAAAATTTTTTTTTCACCTCGGTTATCTGAGATGATAGTACTAGTTACAAATCAGGTCGAGTGATGCAATGAATAATTACTATTGCTATCACGAACATGTTCGAGCATTAATAACTAAACGGTAAAACAATATTAATCTATCCAATGGTCGACTATTATACCTTTATATACTTATCATTTATTATAATTTAATATGCAATAAATACACTTTGTCATCAATGACGATTAGACTTTCGTGAACTTATCTCCATGTCTTGTGAGTCTCTAAAAGAGAGAAGCCAATACTTGTATTATTTTGGATTATTTTTAAACTGTTCCAAGGTCTCGAACAGATTTAATTGGGGAGTTTCAAGCAATCACGAGAATGCTGAGTCTAAAGTGTATAAAAAAATTTTTTTGAATTAATTTCCTGCCACGCCTGATTTCCTAACCTTCAGAATTCTTTAATAAAGACCGAAGTTTAAAGCTATAATTATGAACACAGAAGGAACGTCCAGTAAGTTTGAAGCAAGCAAGCAAGAAAGTTAGTTGCCATTACTAATATCCAGGAGAAAAAAAAAAGAAAAAATGTGAATCTAAATAAATTTATGTTATTTGAATAATAATCCAAAAGGGAATACAAGCCAGGCACTAAAAGAAAACGAAAATGCTTATAGGTCAGTCAAAAAATTGAAATTTGCAAGGCAAAAAACACAAATCCGAACATAAAAGAATAACCAGCTAGCTCGCTGCTCGGAGAAGCGACTATCTCTGATATCTTAAAAAAGAAGGAGCACTTTCTGCAATATGGACCAAATGATTATACAACGACTTTGCGTCGTGAGCGGTCCTCAAAATTTCCAATAAAGCGAATTATTATTTTAGCTAAATGCGCATTTATTTAATATTCATTATGCTTAACCGAAGGAATCGGTATCATATATAACCTTCGGTTAACACGGGACCCCGTTATACCGAAGGAAAATGCCCGGTGGGTTGCCTCTGTATTAGTATATCTCCATAACATTAAAGGAAATTGTGTTACGATGAATCCTAACGGTCTCTCGATCGCGTGTCCGACTTATCGAGTTTCCCTGTGTATCTTTTCTTTGAAAGTTAGGATAATTGGTTTAAATAATAGAAAGCAATCAAGTATTTTCTTATTTTCAATCAAGGTCATTTTTAGTCTCTGTAACTTCAATTTGAGCAATTTGTCGAGAGGTTAATTGTTTCCAGTTGAGTTTTTAACGGTTTAACTTCTTCTTTGTAATTACCATTCTCTTTTTTAATCTCATCCAATAACTCTTGCTTTTGTCTTTTACTTCACTTCTTCTTTTTCAATTTCCAGTGCTTCCTCAGCCATGACTAGTTCTTCTCGTAATTTATTTATTTGTTTTCATAAAAAGCATCCATTCTCCTTTCGTGAGGTAAAACGGGGAGTTCTTTTTCGTCAACATTTTTATTATTGCTGTGAACGCGATGGGCTATACCTTAAAGTTCTTCTCAGCATCACTCTGTGTGATTAACGATTAATTGTAATAGCCATTATGCATATAACTCGCGAACACTCGCATTCCTTCTAAGATTCAGGGAGCATAACCCAACGAGTGTAGAGCTATTGATGTTCATTTAGCACCATATCAAATTCTAATATCTCTTACTTAGTTCAGTGTATGAATATTGACTCTTCGCTTAGCGTCGAGCGTTATTCTCATCACAACGAAATACAGGTAACTCATAAAATCATAACATTGTCATAGGCTAACGATATTATATAGATAACTTCACATACATGTTGGTCAAAAATTTTTTTGGACATACATGTGCCTTAAGGACATGTAAAAACTAAACATTTTATAAGACAGCGGGAAAATTGGGTAACCTACATAGCTCTGGGTTTACAAGCTTGTTGATTCGAGGCATCATTGCGCATCGTGCGAATTGAAAAAAGGATTTTCGTT